TAGCGTTTTTGTTGAAAAATCATGTGATATTTCAATTGAAAACATTACCTTAACATTTGAATTCACAAAGGCATTTCATGGTTCAACATATTCACTCACGTCACTACCTTCGTCCCTATGTTTTCTAATGCAAACGACCTCCGATTAGGGTGAAATTTGGATATATTCTAGATATCATTATGTATTTTCACATGTCCAAAACTTGCTCGGGAAAATTTCGATATTTCTCGGTGATGCCCGGGGCTGAATTTGGTCACTTGGTCATGGGTAAAAATTTTTAGAAATGCATGTTCGAGCCAAAATTTTGAGTTTTCCATACTTATGCAATGCTAGAGTTATATTGATGATTCATGTTATGAAACATTGCATAAACACACGTAAATGTGCATATTGAAGAAAGTTTGGGGGATTATGAATTCAAAGTTTATTCATGCCCATTTTTTCTACACTAAGTGAGTGATATTGTGTATTTCCTTTTGCAGGATGCCTCCTAAACGAAGTTCAAAGGGAAAAGAGAAAGTCGGCTCATCATCTGGAACAGCCCGAACAAGGGAACCCGAAGGGGGTGTCAGACGATTTCTATCATCAGATACGGCAGCCCGATACGTCAATGTTGTGCGTGATTGGGCAATCATTCCCGAGAGGCCAGTAAAGTTAGAAGACTTTCCCAACTTTGAATTGACATAGCTTATTCACAATTGTGGTTGGGAAAAGGTTATAGAAAGACCTCACCCGGTGTATGAGAATCTGACAAAGGAATTTTACGCAAATTTCAACACGGAAATCGATACCCCCGGATCAGAGCATTTACATCAGACATGGGTTAGGGGCAAATGGATTATGTTCTCACCGGAGGTAATCCATGACTACTATCAGTTATCTTGGAACAATGTGGTCCCTATCCCAGAGGACTTCAACTGGAATGAGGTTGCAGAGGTATTGTTGGGACGTGAAAACGCTTGGCCTCTACCTACAGCAGACTGGCATCAGATAGATCTCACCCCATCCATAGCAATTTTATGGTTATTCATGTACCATAACATCGAGCCTATATCCCACAGAACAACATTTACAAATCCAAGGGCCGGATTCATATACCATTTGGTTAGAGGGAACAAGATTGATCTAGCCACGTACATCTACAACCAAATTCATGGTACAGGCACTTGGGGTGATAGGCACTACTCACTAATTTTTCCCAGTCTGATAAGTGGAATATGTAGAGCAGTGGGGATACAAATCCAACCTGGGGAAGCACCAGAAAAGCCAAGCCCTTTTATCAAGCAATCCACACTAGAGGTCTAAGACCGAGTAAGAGTGAAGCACCAACAGAAATTAGAAAATGCACGACGACGACAGCAATTGAATGAGGAAGGTCAAGCAGATGCGGACCTTGACATGCCTCAAATACCTCCACCACCACCCCAGGTTGATATGGACAATCAGGTTTTGAGGCAGATATTTGCCACTACCACTGGAACTAGCCGAGACATACAACATCTCCAGCAGAGTTTCGAGACCATGACTACCACTATTGACAAAGTGCAGAGAGACCTCTACTCTTCCTGAAGATTCCACAAGGGGTGCTTTAAATGAAGCCACAACGGCACGACGGGAGGTGGAGACCATGAATGGTAGGTTCAACATGTATGCTGGGAGAATGGATGGCATATAGTGGCGAGTGAACGAAACCTGGGATCGATTGGGAAGTATGGAGAATAGGCTTCAATCCATTTAGGCAGAGCAAGCACAGTAGACAGAATTGATGAGACAAATCCTATCTCGCCTTCCATCTCCTCCTGAAGATCATGCTGCGGGTCCCAGCTACACACCGCGACCACCACTTTGATCAGGGGAGTGTTGTTTACCTCTATTTGCCAAGTTGTGTATATATTTTTAAATTATGCTTTTCTAACTTTACATTTACATTGAGGACAATGTACTGTATAAGTTTGGGGGATGGTAGCATAATTTTCAAACAAATATTCGGCATGTAGTTAATATGCATTTTCACAATCAATCATTAAATTGACTACATTCTTGCATGATGCATGCGTGATGAATGAGTGTTGATTTTACTTTTGTATGCTTGTGTGGGTTTGGTAGCCTTGCCGGCTATGATGTGATTATTGGACAGGTGTAAATTAGAACTGTGGATATAGTACAGGATTTTATTAGCTAATACTTGTTGATGCAATGCTTGACATCCTTTTGCACGCACTCATGTTTTCATGTTAAGTTATTGAATGAGATTGTTGGAGTAAAATATGAGAAACCTAGGTTAACCCTCTATATCATTAACCCGTTAAATCACCATAAGATAGTTTGGAGATGGTTGAGCCACTATAGGGAAACATAGAAGTAAGTAGGGGTTCAGTGCATGAAAATATACTGTGTGGATTGTCTAAACCGGAAGGTGAGAAATAGGTAAAAACTTTAAGTTGAGGACAGTTTTTGAGATCAAATGTCTAGAAAAACAAAGAAAGGGTAGAAAATAAAAATTGGAAAATTATCACTTCTCTCTAAAGCCTTTATGACTCAAGCAATTAAGTCTGTTAGGGCTTAAAACCTGATATCCTAAAGCCAACTGGTTTGTGAATTATCGGCCTAAAGCTCGTTACAGTGGTTATATAGAAAGCAAGAAAAAGGAGAAGTTGACAAAAATTCATCTTATCGAGCCTTTATAACTCGGGTGAATAAGGCTGCAAGGGTTTAAAACCTGGTGCCCTAAGACCAATTGGTTTGGGAGTCATCGCCTAAAACTCGTTATATAGAAAGCAAATGAGAAGATGGAGAGAGAAAAAAACCTGAAAAAAAAAAGCCCTTGTTGGACATTTGGTTGATATAAATTTAACCTTGATGCGAGGTAAGTAGCTTAGTTTGAGCCTAAAGGTTGAAACAATCAAATTAAAGAGAGTCTCTACTTGTTGATATGTGTACTTGTAAGGGTAAGATCTATCCAAACTAAGAGAGGGTAAGGATTATAGTTGTTAAACTCCTAACCTTAGAACACGCCCCAAGATAATTGAGTGAAAAGAATAAGTTTGGAGGATTTGTGTATCTCTCGAGTGATGTAAGGATAAATTTGACCATTATGGGTCGGGAACAAACCATTCATAAGCTTGATATGTTGGCATGAGTTCACACACACACGTTGAGTATTGCATTTGATAAGTAAAGGTTAATTTTATTCTTGCAATATTGATATTGTTCTATTGTATTGCTAAGTTCCAATCCTGAGACACGGCAAGCTACTAAGCCATGTTTGTTTAACTTTGAGTCACTACATTGTTTGAGGACAAACAATAATTTAAGTTTGGGGGATTTGATAAGCGTGTTTTTACACACTTATTTGGTTCACAAACATGACTTAAACATGGATAAAATGGTTGAATTGTGACTTAATCCAAAAACTTGTTCACGAAATATTTCTTTTCGATTTTAAAACCCACCGCAAGTGTACGGTTCGTTAACAAGTAGTAAAATGGACTATGAGTCCAAGCATCGTTCCCACGAGGATTGAATTAACTCTAATTATACCAATGTGACCTTAAAACTGAAATGTAAATATGCAATTTTAGAACTAATGTATTGAAATGAATCGAAATGAAATCATTAAGAACTCGAATCCCCAATTAACTATTAAAAACCCTAATTTCACAAATTCAACGAATCGATGGAAAAAAAAATGACAATTCAATGTTCCTAAATTATCCAATACACTCTCTCGATATATATTGAATCTACTCTTACACACCACCAGCCTATATTTCTATGGATGATGCAATGTACAAGAATGCAT